GACAACGTCCTTGGCATGACGGTAAACTGCAGCACTTACTTTGAAAGTCAAGCTTCCCTGACCCGAACTAGACCTCAAGTTGGAGTCCAAATTCGAAAGTGCGAAATCACAAGACAACACCAACTATCACTCCCCACAAAAATGCCCTAGGGTCGAAGTGAAAACATATCGAAAATGCAAATGCAATAAATCGAGAAGCCAGGAGTGTATATGCTCCTGTGTGAAATATAAAAAAAAAAATCATACTCACAACAACCTGTTCAATGGATAATAACACTAACCAAACATTGAATCTCCAATCATTATTCAATCGACAGAGATAAACAAAGAGGCAATTGAACATCTGACTGCCTATGACAAGACATATGCATCAGTCAACCTCAGATATGCAATCGAATCAACGATCAAGAAGAACATGCCAACAATACTGAAGAGGTACCAACTACAACAACAACAAGGAACAGACAACAGCAGGAATAGCACTACTCTCCCTCAACTACAACCTAATGTTAGTCCCAATATTGGTATCAATCACTGTATCAATACCAGGATCACCTCTTTGCTTCCAGAAGACAATGACTCAACAGTTATTAATAACAACAACAACAACAACAACAACAACAACAACAACAACAACAACAACAACAGCAGCATCAACAACAACAGTCCACTTGTCCCAATCAATTCAATAATACAACAACGTTCTCCAATACCTCTTGAACTCAAGTTTGGGGTGGATGGATGTAAGATTCGTCTTGCTGATTGTGATAGTACATTTCTCCAACTGGTCGCCATCAAGTTGATCTCATTCATGACGGTCGATGAGCTCAAGTCACCAAAGTCTGAGGTAATTTGCTCTCTATATCATGGCAAAGAGAGCCGACTCATACATGAATACTACCTCCACTCATTCTCTGAACAACTCAAGGAGATCCAGAACAACAATATCGTAAGTATTAATCGCCTGTCCACACTCACTTACAACATTTATTAATAATATATTTATATAGATTACAGTTGAAGGACAGGAGTTCAAGATCACTTTAAACTCATCCATTGACTTAGCAGCGATGGTATTGGTCGCAGGATTGTATTCTGTTTACCTCTGTCCAACCTATTGCTGTGTCTACTGCCTTGTCACCAAGGAATCACTCTCTGTGTTTGACCCTACTATCGACTTTGAGAGTCGCAATATGGAAGATGCAGTGGAGCTGACCAAAGAGTTTGATGTATCCATCGCACAAAGGAAGTACCAAAGGGATCGCGCAAAGATTAATGGTGGACAAATCAATGCCCCTCTCATACCCTCTGTTGGCTACACAAGACAAATCCCTGACAATCTACATTTGATTCCTGCCAACATTAAGTTGTTCGCCCGCAGGCTGCTCAAGGAAGTGGACAATTGCGAATCAATGCATCTCACAGAGGCAATAATGGGGGTGCTGGTCAATGACTTGAAGATCTTCCTAAACAAAGTACCTCATTACCTGGATGAATCTCCATCAAGTCCCTTGATGAACCTGTTTCAAGGTGCTCGCCCTACCTACACCCAGTGTTTACGGTTACTCTTTGAGAGAGAGAGACTGTTCAACATGATCAACGAGTGTCTAAACCTTGGTGAACCTGCTGCTGTCTCTGGTGAGGATCATGATGAGCTCAGCCAGTTGCTTGATGACATTGGCCAATATTTGGACGAGCAGGACGACATGTTCGAGTCAGATAATGATGAGGATGAGGAGATCGACCTTGTGCCAGATGCACAACTCAATCAACCAATAACCAGAGAGAGATTGATCGAGATCAGAACACTTTGGGATCAATTGTGGACATTGGTCAACATGCTCCTCAATCACAAGATTCACATTCAATCTAGCGATCAGTTCAGAGTACTTGGATGCAAGCTTGGAAATACATTCGTTGGCATGTATGGCGCGACCTGTGTTACAACCTACTTGCATACATTGTCTCATCATATAGGACAATTTATGGTTGACTTTGCCTGTCTCGACAGACATAATAACTGTGGACTTGAAGGTATGATACACACTATTTGCATGAAACAACCTTAGAACCAACACTAATCAAATGATTGTTCAACATCAATCTGCTGAATAGGATGTCACTCCATTAACAAAGATATTGTTTACTGCGCATCTAATGGCAATAGACACTCTGGACCTGGATCACTCCCCAGCCAGATCCTTCTCAATCAACATGCGCTCAGTCATTGTGATACGAATGATCCAATGGTCAATCTATCACAGCGCATTCATGAATCTACCACAGATACCAACCGACCCAGCTTCCTCAAACATATCATTTATCCTCCAACTATTCCTGACTATTTGGACAGTAGATACAATGTCAGAATGGAGATCGTCTCGGAGCTAGCGCCTAACAACACACTGAGGAGAGGATCTGGTATAGGTGGTGGCGATGATGTATGTATACCCTCACTCAATCAATCAATCTATCACTCTCTCTCAATCAAAAAACTAACTAAACTCTCTCTCTCTTCCAAACATAGTTCTTCCAGAATCAAGCGGTTGGTTCCTCCATCAACAACAACAACAACAGAAGCAATACAAGCAATTACAACATGAGCATGTTCGATTCCCTACCACTCCCATGCACAATAGCACATACTCCAGGACCCAGTACATCAGGACTAAGTACATCCAATGATATTGGAGGTGGCAGGAATGACCGGAACAATAGTATAAGCAAACAATCCTTTAAGATGGTTCATGGCGAAGGCAATGGCAATCTTATTTCATGCTTCAGGTTGGACAACCTTGAGAAAGATATCTTCCTTGGACGTTCACGATATGACAAACCGGTAGACCAACTCAAGATAGGCCAGACTGTGACTGTTCGTTGCCCTCAACCAATGTTCATTGGTGCATACTTTGCAGCCATTGTTATCAATCATCGGAGGCAAAAAGGTGCCTCTCCCAATACAGAAACAACAACCCAATACTGGGTATCCTACATGTATGTATCCAAACCATTTCATTTATATCTATTCAACATTAACTGACCATTCATTCTATATGTTGTCAGTGATAAGAGTGGTGAAGGAGATGATAATGACTGGATAGACTCCAAGGACATAGTCCCCTTCAACATCAACAATTATCACCATTTGGAACAAAAGGATGCCAAAGTTGGGATGTCTGTGTTGGCAATGGTCTCGGCCAACAATTTCTATTACCGCTCCACAATCCAGTCAGTGGAGCAGAGAGGATGTACATTGATTGTTGACCTAGGCGATCGTAGAACTGTGCACCGACAGATCGTTGAGTACTCTAGTTTGATCTCAATAGATGGACCTCATCGCAGAATGGATCTCACATTTAAATCATGGCCAAAACACATTGAGCAGTCGATGAAAGAACGAGGTATGATAATAGCGCTCTTGCTTCCTTCCATTCGTGTATACATTACTAACAAGAGCATCAGTCCACACCTTCTATGAGAGGATTGGCGGTATTTCCAATGACCTTCTTTCCAGTATGATCCTGGGATTGAGCACACATAGAGTGGCCACGATGTTGATCACAAGCAATAGCCATGACAGACAAACTCTGGATCACCTAAGAACCCATCTTCTTGGTGGTGGCGGCTTCAAATATTTGGTAGTTATCTTTTACCTCAACAACCACTATTCAACATTGATCCTCAAGATTGTCAATGACACAATTGACAAATTCATTTTATACAATGATCCCTTGATCATGGATGTACACCAGTCAAAGATGATGTCACAGGTAATGGCATTGTCCCTTGACAACCACTTCCAAGGTATCAATATTAAGGTGGTCCCCAATGGTACAAAGTATCAATATGATGGTCTTTCATGTGGATTTCTTAGCCTTCTATTCTGTCAAACTATGATCAGCCATTGGAATACCCAGGAAGATCGCAACAGGTATGAATCATATCTGACCAAGGCACTGAGGACCTTTTGTCATGACCATACTTTCAAAGATAAAGAATGGTTGATCTTTGATAAAGTATGGTCACATTGCCGAGACTTACTGATCGCTGACTACAAGCTAATGAGGTATCAATCAGTGTTTGAGACCGAGTTCGGATATCCGACTAACCGAGACCGAATAAACCGAACCGGACCCTTTTACCAATCCGAAGGAAGTTCAATTATTCGAACCGACCAGCTGTTTTTTTAATCAAAACCGGATCGAATAACCGAGGGTGAGATATGTGCATTTTCAATCTAGTGAACAACACAAGTCTCATTCATTTTTTTGAAACTTAAATTAATATTATTGATAGAAATGACCAAATGGCTTCCTTTAGACATCTTGGTGATCCTAATGATTATCAACCACAGACATGCATTGTTAGTAGTGGACTAGTCTTGGTTGGTTCAATATAATGTTTCCATCCAATACTGTACTTCTTTGTAGTCTCTGTTGAAGTTGATGATGTCACCTTGGTGGATGTTGTTGTTGTGTGACGACTTGTCACATACGATTCACGATGTGTCACCATGACTCATACATTCTATCATTGCTGAGTCATCATCCTGGAATCTACAGAACACTATTCCATGTTCCATCTAATCAGTATATATACATCATTCATAATACACTAATAAAGCGGGCATTCTATACATTATACAGTTATACATATATATATATCTMTATTTGTYATACTTTTTTATATTTTATTTTTTTATTTGAAATATTTTTTATTTTGTTCCAACAATATTTATATATTTATATATATTTTCTTTGATAAGAAAGTGGAGAGACTCAATAGATACGTTGCTAGACGCAAAAGAGAACTAGGATTAATAATGAACAATAATCAAGCCTTGCCCCAGGCTCAACCAGTACTACAGCCAGTACAACAGGAAGCACAACCACAACTGCCAGCACAGCAACCCCAGGCTCAACCAGCACCACAACAAGTTCAACAAAACATTTTACCTCCAGTCGTATTTGAGAATGCACAGCTCTTACAGTTAATACAAGCATTAGTTAGACCACAAGAGAATGTAGTAGAGAGAGAGAAAAGAGAGAGAGAGAGGAAAGAGAAAGCGATCAGAGATGCAATCCCACATTGTAAATGGTCAGAGAAGACTGCATCTATCCACAGTTGGACAGTCAATCTGAGACAGATGATGGTCAACACTGACTGTACCGAAGAGGAATTGGCCAATCACATGGGTCAATTGTTTGACGAACCAGATCGTACATGGTACTACTTGCTCAATCCCAGACCTGTCACAGTACAAACTTTGTTGGAAGCCATGAACACAAGATTCGACATTGCTAGCAAGAACATAATGTTGAGAACAGAGTTGGAGCACTTACATCAGAATGGATCACCCATTGCCAACTTCAACTCTCGATATGGAGAAAAGTTGCACACGTTGACATGACT